TGGGATATGAAATGATTATCTAAAATAAAACCTAATTCAAAAAAGTATAATATATCTTTACTCTTGCAGTCAGATCTTGCTACTGATCATGGTGGTCAGGTTAGGCTTCATGAAGAAAATGTACTCTACCTAACTATGAAAACCTTACTGAACAAAATGATGTGTTTAATTGTCCTTTCTTAAGCCAACATAACTAGCTGCATGTAGGTGATCCCTCTTTATTATATACTCTGCTCAAATTTTTGATTACATTCACCTGAAGAAAAAATTGGCAAAATGTCAAAAGTATTTTTCTACTTTGATATTGCAGTATAGAGGTAAATTTTTCTTTGTAATCAAATCCTTGGTGACTGCAGAAAGGTGTTGGGAAAATAAGCCAAAACAAAATTTAGAAAAAATTCAGCCTTTATGTAATTTGAAATAGAATAAATATTAAACCTACTTTGCTATGCTTAATTCTTGAGAGAATGAGAATATCTATTAACCATGGCAATGTGGGTATAGTTTTTATTCTATGTCTATTTCATAAAATTTTGCAAAAAAGCTTTTTGAGAGAATATTAATCAAACACGTTCTATAACTTCAGGCATGGAAAAAAATGAGAAAATGACAATGCACAAGAGTGGCACAAGCTTTGATAGCCTATAGTAAAAGTGCCACAATACCAGAAAAAGGTGTTGCACTGAAATATATTTCCTTTAAAAAAAAAGAAGAAGAAACCTGGCGCATAAAATAAGTACGTCTGACACGAAGAATGTTATGCAGTCCCTCTATTCAAGAGGTATGTCACATCATTCTGAAATATCACATGCAATAAAAGAAAAAGAAATGAAAAAAAAGGAAAAAAGGTGGACTCTTTATACACAGATCTCTTTTACTGAAGGCATGTCTCATTGCACAAATGTCACATGCTTATACAGGTTGAACTGGTTTAGTGATGTGTATGAAATAAGTATTTAAAATAAAACCTAATTTAAAAAAAACATAATATATCTTTACTCTTGCAGTCAGATCTTGCTACTGATCATGGTGATCAGGTCAGGCTTCATGAAGAAAATGCACTCAACCAAACTATGAAAACCCTGAAATTGAAATTTGTAATGTGTTTTTCTTTACTTATATTATCTATTACCTTTTCTCCTTCCTTGCAAAAATGAATCAGCTGATTTCACCAATTATTCCAGCTTTATCTGAACATGATTAAATCACACAATTTTATGAATTGAATTCAGTTTTGACATTTGTGGACCTTTTCATTTTTTTACACAATAACAGAATTCAGCAAAAAAGAATACATCAGAGGACAAAAATATTTTTTACTTTCTTTAAGTGAACAGTGCCAATATAAAGCAGTTAGAATATATGTTAACAGTTATATGTAACAATATAAGAATTTTTCATATAGCTTTTCTTTCATACAAACTTAACAAAATGTTAAAATTGACAAATATCACAAATATTGAGCCATAAATCAAACCTGATGCATTATCCTGATGCATTTATAATCAATGAAAGTTTAGATATTCATAACCCCTCTTAATGTTATTAAAGTAGTATATTCCAAGACTGTTTTGGTACTAACACCAATGATAGCAGTGATTTTCATTCATACAAAAGAACGGAATCAAGTCCATTGCATTTATATAAAACTACTGACCTTAACACAATTTCCAATTGTTAGATCAAAATTACATATAATCCTAGTCCCCCATTCAATAATAATGAAAAAAAAAACAGCAGAAAAGGATGATCTATTTTGTTTTCTAAATATAAAGAAATGAAAAAAAAAGTATATCACCTGTTAAAGCAGGTTTCCAGCAGTGGAGGTCTGGAGTGAGCGTGGGAGCGGGAGACTCAATCCCAGCACAGTCCCATTAAAGTCATATAGGGAATCCCAGTGAATTCGGCCATTAATGTCGCACTGCAAGAGAAGCCTTGGAAATACCACCGTGTCCCAGTGTGCAGTTGCTTTGGGCCATAAACTCATGCACACTCCACGATGCAATTAATATTCAGACTGTGTAGCCATCCCTGTTCCAGCCCAGAGGCATTCTTGGTGGGGTTGGTCATAGGTGAGCATCAGATCTTGTTTGGCAGGTGCAGCCCAATCTAATCTTCTTCATTGTTGGGCTTCTTTGTACCTGAGCAAATTTAACATATTTTAATACAGGTTTGAATTCTATTCATATACTGTTCCTGTCAAAAGACAGTTACTCCACCCAAAGTCTGGGTCCGCAAGACGCAATTTATTTCATTTGGGCCTACAGTGACATTCAATATTTTACGTACTTACAAAAAAGTAAAAATAAGCAAAAGGCCAATACCGGTAATACATTGAAAATATTAATACCTGTGATACATTGGAAAAATATACATAACAGTGACTTCTACATTAGTCATGATGCGTGATTCAACAATTTATTTATTTGAAAGAAGTAAAATTGAAGAAAATTATATCAGTATGATCTTATCATATTTACAGCATAAAGTTTAGTGCGTTTATTTTGTAAAAGAAACAGGCCCGTAGCCAGCAATTTCCAAAGTGGGGTTCTTTTTCTGAAAAAGTGGACCTTTTCCCACAAAAACTTCATGTACCTAGATCAAATTTTACCCAGAGTGGACCTTTTCCCAGCAAAAGGGGCGGTTCTTTCGAACCCCCCGAACCCCCCC